GGTGGAGAGAGGCACTGTGAGAGTAAAGTGTCTTGCCTAAGAACACAACACAATGTCCCCGGCCAGGGCTCGAACCCGGACCGCTCGATCCGGAGATCCGGGCTGCTTACTACCCCTCTGTAAATGTACGGCGACCAAAAAGCAACGACAAACGTTGTATAAATGTGTTTATTACTACAATAACGCCTTTCAAGATATATGATAAAAGCAACTGCTCAATGAATATACTTCAGCTTCCTTAAATATTATGTACAAAATTTTACTCTGGATCACGTAATATCAATCAGCTATTGTACATACGGCTTGTGTTAGCTCTCTATGCAATCAAACAAAGCCACTAAGATTTTGTTGAATTTACAAACAGGTATATTGTGAACTTACGGCTTACACAATAATATAATTTTGAAGTTAGTCCCTAAAGTCACTAACTCTTGCTTCAGGGTTGGAGTAAAGGGTGTGCTTTGTGTCAAACTTGGGGAACATGTGGCCTAAGAGTCATCCCCCGGTACACAGCAACTTAACGTTAAGCTGCAAGTCTAACAGAGACGATTGCAAATGGAGATCAGCCAAACTGCTCTCCTTCATAAACTAAATGAAGCCATCTTGAGTTGAAAACAATACATTCAGTCTACACTAGTCTATGAACAAAGGTTTTTTTTCCCTTTATTTGAAACATGCGGTTGACGTTGGTTGACGAGTAAAGATTCGAGAAACCGATCTACAGTTAGCAAAACTACATGAAGCTTTCAACATAGCTTAAAAAATTCAGCAAAACAAAAAAAACCCTTCATAGCATCTGGCATAACAACTGACAGAAAATAATCACAACCAAAAGTGTCTACCTTTTCTCATGTAAGAACCAAGAAAGCAGCTCTGTCGCTGACCCCTCACTAAATTTTTCGACAGACTGTACCCTGAATCCTTATGAGAAATTCTGTTCAATGAATTCAAGCAATTTATCAGGCAGAAATCTTCAACATGGATGCTGCAAATTAAAAATCCCAATTCGTACAAAAAAAATCCATGTGTTGCAAGGTACATCTAAAAAATTGTTTTAAGCGAGGTGATCAAAAAAATAAATAAATAACTCAACTGCTTCTTTGACCTTACATATAGATTCCTTGGACTTCGCGACAAAAAAGTACCCGTGTCTTTGCAACAAACGATTAAAGTATTTCTTCCAAAAGACTGAGCAAGAGTTCTTAATAGACTTGTTTGTAATGCAGTAAAACTCAACAGCACCTCATTAGATATATAGATAGATAATTTTATCACTCTTAAATGGCAAAAATTCTACAGATATCATAACTTGTTTAATAGATGAACTGAGATCAAGGTTCTAAGACTTCCTCTCTGCAGACAGGACAGGTCCGATTGTTCTGAAAAATAAGTTCAACACAGTTTCATGTTGGTGACAATACTGCAGGGGGAAAAAACATCCTAACACAGATTAACGACCAATGCAAATCAGAGCACTTTTAAAGAATGGTTCACTGTTGCATGTGTGGGAACGACAGGGTCAATGAAAAGTAAGCCTTAAAAACGTTTCAATCCATAACAGGATGGAAGTTTTTTTGTTGGAATAATGTTTGGGAAGGGGGTGGGGGTGGGGTTGGGGGGTGGGTAAATAACAAGGTGCTGCTCCAGACCACCCTTGTAGGTGTAAATCAATACAGGGTCTATGAATGAAGCCAGATTGGAGTGATGATCACAAAGGAGTCAGAATCAAATGTCTCTGGGACATTTATATGTGTAGGCGTTAAAGACATTTTTAAGTAGTCTGTCTGTGTGATTGTCCAGGTGAGGGTAGCTCTGAGAAGTACTGTTGGTGGTGACTGATGTTTTAACAACCTGAGCGGAAGTCATCTTCAGAGTCAAGCGAATGGTGTTTGTCAGTCAATGGCGTTATAAGTCTGGTCCGCTGAAAGTGAAAGCCTTCAATGTCTTTACAACATGGTGATAAGTCAATGAGATGAATCCCACAAAGCATTCTATTCACATTGGCTGCAGAGTAAATAAAGTTCTGATCTGCAAATCTTACCTTCAGCCAGCGATCAATGCATTTAGCATGGAAGTCATGGTTGCATGGTAGACGTCGTAGCTTTTCGCGATTGATATAATCACTCATGCACACCACACAGTTGCCATTAGAAGAATCTCTGGAGCTTGCACTGTAGCGGAAACTTGGAATACTATCAATCACTGAAACAGCAATGGAGATAACTTAGAATTCTGCCAAAGTTTGGTTAATGGAACAAAAAGTTATCCACTCAGTACGAAAGCCTCAATATACTGAAAGATATCTCCCTATGTGTTATTAAGTCTTCCCTTGCCCAGAAGACATCTGAGATTTGACCACAAAAAAGCTATGCTGATGGCATTGCTCTGCAGAGCTATGTGTAGTGTCTCTCAACAACTAATCAGCGACACACAAGGATTTCTGTATCATAACATCATTGTCATCATCATCATCATCATCATCATCATCATCATCATCATCATCATCATCATCATCAACATCATCTGTCCTTTTGGTGCCACGCACCACATAAGGCCTCCACACTATTCTTCCAGCTGGTTGGGTCCTTTGTCACCCCATGAGAGTTGAGCTGAAGCCAGCTCTTTTACAACCACACCAGCATGGAATTTTTCAGGTGGAATCTCAGATGTTTTTTGAACAGAGAAAGAATGGAGTATACACAGAAACACATCTGTTAACTTGGGATAACAAGACAGTCTGACTATGAGTACCTTCTTTACTGAGTCCACGAGCCTTGGCTAATCCTATCCTCTCACTAAGATTCCATAAAGCCTGGAAATGAGATCAAAACATCATTAATGTCGACAAAAACAACAACAACTAGACACCTACAACTATTATTTAAGTTCAAGTATTGGTGTCAAACATAAACTTAAACCTTCACAAAGCTGTTATTACCTCATAGTCTTCCCCTTCAGCTGTATGTCCAGAGTTGGAGTCTCCATAGTGATGAAGAGGAGGAGGAGGGAATGAAACCACAGACCTGTAAATCAAAGCCAAGCAGTTTAGTTAACGACACTGGACAAGAATCTGAGGCTAGAAAAAATAATGACATATTATCAATGATACTCAGCAATCAAGGTTGCCAGACATCACTTTTCAAAATTACTTGACTTTTCCCTAGTGAAGTTAAATTTTCCTCACCAAACACGAAATGTCAGATGTAGAAGCAGCTTCTCCCCTAACCTTAAAGGCATCTTTCTCACCCATTTTTTAAGACTGTTAAGTTTTCAAGAAATTTTTGTTCTTCACTGAGGAAAAACATTGTTAGATCACAGTGAACCCAGATATATCTTCCAGCCTTCAATCGTATTAAATCATCCATATCAAATTATTTCAATTTTCCCTGACTTTCCTTCAAAATGTCAATTTTCCACGACTAAAAAATTATTAAATTTCCTGACTTTTCTAACCTGTAGCAATCCTGGAAGTGCATGTTGCTCAAACACAATTTCCAAAGTTGAAACCATCATGCAACAGCATTTTGAAACTTAACAATTTTTATGACAACTTGTTTGAAAAATATATACATTGTACTCACACAAAAGGAAGGAGCAGATCTGGTAAAGCTTGACTAGCAAAAGCTGCATGGAATGGACGCCTTCGTCTCAACGGCACTGGGGGTGGCTGAGGCTAAGGGCAAGAAAATAATAATATCTAGTCAAATTAACACATCCAACTAGGATAGCAGGGATGACTTGGTGACACAAACATTTGCCTCCCACCAAAATCGTACAGGTTTGTTTCTGGCTGGTAGACAATTCAGAAGCAAATTTACCACTGACAGTAACAGTCATTTTGGTGATGGTGATCACTAAATGCAGACTGAAAAAATACAGTCAAACCTCCATTAACAGCCATCTCTCTACAATAGAAAGTTTTTCTGCTCTACCCGATGGTACATACATTAACTCTTATATTTTTAACCTCTCTACAATGGCCGCCTCTCCGCAGAGGCAGCAGCAATGGCCACTTAAGTCCATATCAAAATAACTGCTGCACAATGGCAAGTTAAATAATGACTGATGGACATTGAATATAGAATTCTATTTTTTATTGTGAAAGTGTGTTGTCACATTGTTTGTCTCTGTTTCTGTTTTATTGACACATTTTGGTTGTGTCACATATTTAAATGCTACCATAAGCAATTTTTTTAAACTGAAAATGTTGCACCACCCTGAATAAAACAGGTGTCATATTACACCCAGACCTCCCCATAATGGCCACTTCTCTATGAAGGCCACTTTCTTCTGTCCTCAAGTTGACCATTGTGGAGAGGTTCAACTGTAATAGAATTTTGTAAATCAAGAAGTCTTACCATGGTGGGTGGTATGGCATGTAGCGTGCCAACCCTGGGTGCTGCTGGTTGGGTTGAATCACCAGCACCATGAGCATGTTCCTCCATATCGCGGGTATACTCGGCCTGAAAATATGTCAATATACAAATTTCTTGATTATTTGCCTTACTTGACATGACAGAATTAGTTTGCTGCATGAGAAGCATATGTGTCCAGTTACAGCCACATGAAAAGCACTACCTTCCTAGACACCACTTTAAACAACAGTTATTTTTATTGAGTGCAATTTCTCCACAGCGAAGGGGAACCTTCCAGTAAAGTGTGAGGATCGCATCCTCCCTAGGATTGCAATTATGATAATACTCTCTTCTCTCAGTGTTTTCCCTTTAAGATAAATCTTAAAACAAAAATGCTCTCTTTCATGACAACATACTTAGTTCTTAAAACTGCTAACAGCAGAGTAAAGCAAAAGTACATGTATTGCCCCTGCATACTCCTCCTGCTAAGGTTTGTCTCTTTGCACTGGAAGAAGGGTCTTGCCCATTAAACAGTACTGCTCAAAAGTACGTTACCACCCTCTTGAGAGTCTCATCTCGTATCGAGAAATGAGACTCTCGTCTTGCAAGAGCCTTAAAAAGTTGTCAGTACAAATGCTTGAACTTCTCGCAAGATTTTAATAGCCTATTGTTATTATCAGCTACTGAAGAACAGTGAAAAAAAAGGGTGGATTGAAAAAAGTCACCTGCTGTAATCTGTGAGCAAGAGCTTCATCAGACTGAAGGTAACATCTTGTGGGTTGCCTGGATGCATTGAGGCGACGACGGAATCGCTCCATGCGATGCTGCCTATCAGATAGAAACCAACTGGGCGCATCATTAGGTGGAACTTGGTGTTGAGCAAAAGATGAAAGCTGTGGAAATAATTAACAAATCTTGATATTTACTCTTCTGCATAACTTAATTACACTGACAGTTCCTCCCAGAATTCTGAGAAAGACAGGGAAAATTCCCTTCTGTATTCTTTACATGAACAATTTGACATTTTCAATACAGGGGACAACTAAAGAGGATCAAAGAGCAAAATGTATGATAAATTTGACAGGTTTTAAATCAAACTACTACAATTCAACAGTTATTATATCGTTTCCAAGAGTATTTTGTGTATACAGATGTGATGTCTTGTTCTTTACGGGAAAACTCTGGCAAGTGTACATATATATAAATCAGTTGACATTTTACAAAATCCTGATGTAGTTTGGACATGCTCCTGAAAATAGTGATATTCAGATGCCCAAATAAGACAGTTTGGGAGCTGGGTAGTTGAAAAGAAGATTGCATTAATATTCAAATTCAAATCAACAAAATGGATACCTCTTCATCAATGACAATAGGAGAGCTATTGTCACCAGAGGGAACTGGCCTTGGTGTAAAGTCAGCAAATTCTGCCAGCAAAGCTTCACGTCTGGCTCCAGGTGGGGAAACACTGTCCCACAGATTTGTATAAGGGGTATGCCTGCCTCGGAACCGGCGTGAACGCAAACGATCATTGACAGGTGCACGGTGACCTCGGGACTCGCGAGCTTGAAGTCGCCAACGGAAATTAGATGCAAATTGTGCAAAGTCCTCACTGAAATGAAAATGGTATAAATAATCAGTAAACTGAAATATGAAACAAAAATAAAAACTTAAGAATAAAGGAACCCAAAAGCATAAACATTCTCACCATGGAGGAGCAGCTGCCGCACCTCCTTGTGCTCTTGCCGTACTGTTGTCACCCTCGTCTGGAGATGTAAGGTCAATAACAGGAATCTCAGAGCGCTTAGGCGTCTGATTAGCCATCATCACAGAACTATCAAGCTCACTGGTGTCACTAGATGAGGTTGATGCAGAGGGTGATATTGGACCTGGATGGTGAAATAATGAAATATCTCCGTTGGGTTCATCCAAGAGAACGGAAAAGTCTCGCGGTGAACCTGGATTTCCTCTCATGGAGGACGATGTACTTTCAGTGTCACTTTGACCCATCTTTAAACCTACCAAAATAAGTCACAAAATTATTTTCAAATTATAAACACATGGATATAATGTAGCCAAAAAAATTAGGCAGCTAGTAGAAGTTGGGGTGGTGCGACACATGCAATTCAGAGGGAAAGTGCTTTAAACATCACATTTCAAGACCCCTTGAAGTTCATCATAATACGCTGTTACACGCATCGTACTTTCAACTCACTTCTTGGTGTTTGGAATGGTCATGTCTGATTTACATTGTAAAACATACAGATCAGCCACTCAAATTGTATCTATCGGCTACCAAATTAAGAAGAACTTTTAATTTGCTGTTCTTTTATAATGGTGAGTCCAAACAAGAGTTCTCATAATTTGTATGGGAGCAGGGTGTTCACAAAGTTTTCAAGCAGCTAGCTTTATTGCTAGAGAAGTTGGCTGATTTTGGTTGTTATTTATCTTTCCTAAAGGATTGTGACAGATAGTTTTCTTTTCGCTGAAAGCCACTGCTGCGGGTAACCCTGGGAAGGACGGACTAAAAAGCAACCTGTGT